CACACCAGTCACGTGACCTCGATGACGCAACAATATTAAATTAAGTAATCGTTCTATTTTCAAGAGACTGCAAGTTGGTTTTACACTTGGATTTGGAAAGTTTACAATTTACGTTGAATGATCGATTGTAAATATCAATGGTTAATTTTGGAAAAAGATTAGACTTATTTACGTCAACAGTTCAAGTAGCACCTAACTCTTAGAATAGATGAACATTTACACAAAGAGTAGAATAAAAAATTATTATGGTGAAATATTTATCCACATATTTTGAAAATTATATTTATCATTAATGTTTGCATCCTGGCTTGTCATTGTGATAACGATTTTATTTGTATTAAGCACAAAGCTGGATAATTGGTTATCATTGCTGTTCCTACTACAGAGACCGAACTCCAAATTTTAGCATTATGAGCCCTTAATCTTAATCTGAGTGCATTTAGGATATACGCAAATGATGGGTATTTCATCATTAAAGGTAAAGATGAGTGCTAGAGTAGTAATAATAGCTATGGCTCCCTTCCCTCTACACTATGCATGGAGCCTTGTCGCAGCACACCTGTTGTTGTGCTGATCAAGTTATAGCATGCATGCCCCAAATTGAATCCCGACACAAACACCTTAACCATCAGGTTAACCGGATAAGCTTAAAAAGTTATTTCAGTTCATAATATATAAAAAGGTCCTAATATGTTTAAAAAGTTAAAACCTACAAAATTGTTGTCGCAAGTCCAAGAACTATGCTAAATTTTATATTAAATTTGGTTTAAGTGCTGCTCTTTTTTTTTAAGCTGTGGCTCATAGAATGGCTCCTGAGATTTTTATCAAGATCTGAGTACAGCAGTGGCTATTGATGATTCCCTCTTGTCACCACATATGAGGATACATCTTTGTACTGTATTTGTGTATAAAAGTGCTATAATAAGTGACACATTTTGTATATGAGTCTTCAAAATCAACATATAGCTTTTTATTTAACATTAAGCTGCTTTTCTTAATTTGTATTTCAGTGAGTTTTATATGTCAGTGCACCAGCCTTGTTAAAACTCTTCATCACAACTAGAAATGCTAAAGAGTTAACAGTTACGCATGGTAATTTTCCAGAACATATTCCTTATTCTTAAATGTAGATATGTTATTTTTTATTATCGAAGTAAGCTTGATTTATTCCGTAATTGTATGTTCTAAGTTTAATATTCACGATGTTTTCCCTATTTCATCTAGAATATTTTTGGTACCCCTTAAAAATTGATTCTGCTGAGTATATTTTTTTGTCTACTAAAACGAAAATCAGAGGTTTTAGGTTTGGAAATTGTAGTATAAAATAGTAAAATACCCGGAAATTTATTTGATGTGAAAATATATACTTTGAAATGAATATAAAAAAAAAACCCATCACAAATGTTTATTGATAAACTGTAAGGAATTAGCTACTTTTTTCTGATTTTCAATTACCTTTATTTGAAGTTTACGTTTCTATACTTGTCTAATATCTCTGATGTTTGTTAGTACTTAATTTCTTGAAACAATTCTAAACCTTTCATTTGAGTTATAAATTCCTTTTAATTTAAACTTTTTTTTTTAAAGTAAGCATCTACTCAAAGCCTAAATAGCTCAAGTTGTACTTATAATTTTCTTTGCAATATTGTTTTTCCTTCTGTAAAGTGTTTGTTAACTAAGAAATTTGAAAAAATCTTGTAATATGAATGTTCACATTTTTTAACAAAACCTAAACTCGTCTATCTAGCTGAACTGATGAGAGCCCGTGATACAGCCCGAAGCTGCAGAACTAACTTGATCCTAGCTAGTGTCATCCAATACAGAGGTTGAGGGCATTACAGTAAAATGACTTAGGATCCTCATCATGTTGTTGTAATTCATGTCTTGTCGTACTCCATCTGATGAACGTGCATGTTACCAACAGACCTGTAGTGTAGTTTCCAATGGAAATGCTCCATCGTAAATCAGTCGTATAAAATCCACACCCTCTTCCCTGTTGTTTCCCGTAAACCATCTAGTGTAGGATGGTTTTTGCAGTGCCTGTTTTAACAGTCCAAATTCACAGAAATCAATCCATAGGTGCCCCACCAGGCAATTTAACTGGTATCTCTTTGTATGGAATGTCATGAATACACTTTTCTTGCTTCAGATATGCAATGATTGAACATGTGTGATGCAGGAAGCGATTGTGTACTCGGATATCCTTCTTGACTATGTTGCATGGTGTTGCCTACAGCAAGTGGATGACCGTTTGTTCTCACCCATTGCATGATGCTCCACTTTTCTTACCATTCAGCTGTAATTTGGGAAGTTTCTTTGAATCTTTTTCTCGAGTTACTTAATTCAATTACGTCTGGTATGAAGTAACAAAACTGTTTTAAAAAAAATCCGAGATCTAAGTTACTCTGAGAGAATCCTTTGTGTTCAATTAACATGTCATCTTATGGATAAAGCCGGTATAATCATCAATGTATTGTAGAAGTTAAAGAAGACTAAGTTTGACTTTAAATGCCAGTTCAAGATCATCATTGATTTCGAAAGTTTTAGTTGGATTAACTGTTACGTTGAAATTCCACTTCTCATTCTTTATTATCTGACAAAGTTGTATTAATTTCTGTTGCATAATTTTAAATAAATGATTGAAGCTCGTATTGTGAAAAACACTGTAAGTATTCAAAGTTATCTAACTGGTGTACAGCTATATAGTAAACAACACGGATTAGGCTTAAACTGTCGAGGGGACTATAGGTTTGAACTTTTCAGGTTGAGCTTTTAGAATATTATCATTAACAAAGATTCTAAAGTTTGCTACTTTGAAATATCTTGAGAACAACAACAACAGGAACAAATATATATATATATAGAGAGAGAGAGAGAGTACAATGTTCAAACTTTAAGTTTGTCGAATAACCTAAACTGTAACAATTTTTGTAATAAATAGTATATAGAATATCAATTCTCTAAGACAAGCTGAACCTGCATTTTCTGAAACCTACATCTTTCTTTAGCATGGATATTGGTTTGAATCCCACCTGTTTTAAGAATTTTTTTTCGTCTGATGATCAGTTGAGTTAATAGTTTTAGGCATAACACTACAAAAGTTTAGGAGTTTTAATTTAAAGACTACTATGATTTAAACAAATATATTCATAAGTTTAGCTACACCTGTAGAATGGCATTGTGTACACGTCATTTTGTACTAAATCTTTTCCATGTGAGCAATCAGAACAAACATTACGTTTGTAGACATCAAATACAAGTTTTTGTTCTGTCTAACGTTAAGATGTTTGAGACACATTTGTTTCTACCCATTTTCACTCGAGTCTTAAGATTATGAGATGATTTCATAGTTGCTGAGGTTGATGTGCTCTGTTTACTAATGAACTTATTAAAATATTTATTACAGGCTCCTTTGTACATTTATTATAAAGTAAGAATATAAAATGGACTTGAGTTTGTTTTTTTTTCCATAAAGTTGACATTAAGCATGGAAAAAATTTATCAGAATAAAATACAACTGATGACTATCTAACATAATAAAATACTTTCAAATGTATTTCATGTAAACACTTTTTTTTTGGTGTATAAATTGATGTTTGAATTTTGTAAAATGTTATACAAATAACTTCAAAACAATGTCTGATGTTTCTGCTTTAAAAGGGTTAATCTGAAAATTAATTTTCTTTCACCAATATATATATATAAACAAATTCTCAAAATATATATTAACTAAACATAATTTAATAATTTGTCTTTATTTTCACAAAACACATTGATTTACACTTTCTGTTAAGGACTAGTAACTCCTTACAAAAAAGCTTTTACAAAATTTTCAGTCTGGCATAGCGTGGCAAAAAATTGGCAGTATTATTGTTAAATAGAAATACTTCTACATTTAAAAAGTTATTTATATATATAATTAATATAAACTAAATACACAGACTTTTTTTTTTTTTCATCAATGTCACAATTACCTCTCAAAGAACCTGGAAAGTCTACACAGTGAAAAGCATGGGAGTGATCTCACTGTTATTCCTGAAAGGCTTCTTTCCCAAAAAATCTCTTTATCAATGACTGAAAGTTTAATCAATTAGTCATTGTTTTCTGTGCAACCCCACCTGGTGTCACACTTTATTATTTCATGATACTTATCCAGTCACTTGCATTAGACAGTGAAACAGTATTATATAAGCATTTTGGCAACATGCAATAAAGATATGTCTGCATTAGATATCTTTAAAACTGTTTAATTTATTTCATTCCTCTGTTGTATCCTGACAACTTAGATGCTAAATTTTGCACTTTTTATCAAACAGTTTTTCACAATTATCAATCATTAAATATAATTCAACAACATTTTATTCCCTTTAGTGATATCTATCAGTTATTCAATGTAGACATATCTTTGTTTCGAAGTGCACTTAAATTACAAGCACAAAAACTCATCTGCTTGAGGAGAATAACTGGAAAGTTGAGATTAGAACTGCATTTAAGACACTGAATTTACCATAACCCGGTGGAACGTCCACCAGGAGGATTCTGGATTCTAATATGAGAGCGAGGGCTCTTGCTGTCATCAATCTGTGCTCCTGAAATACCCAAAAAAAAATGTCTTTCATGTAAATAGAACAAAGGTCACCAACCATAACATAGTAAAACATGCTGTACATTTAAGACATTACAGCTGCAAAGGAAAATCCCAGAGCAAGTAAAGAAAATGATGTAATTCTACACCCAATGATGCAATTTACAGTTTTTTTCTCATTGTATGGAGGGTTAATCTTGCATAAAAGAACAATTTGCATAGCTAATGAAGTGGTGTCACTGCCATTAGCAACACGTTTTGTACATTATATGGTTTGTAACAAATTTCCAACCATTTGACAGTGCAATGCTGCAAAGTCAAACTTACGTCTAGAGGCAAATGTCACAGCTCTTTCTGAGGTAAGATATTCTTAGGAAAATAGCAAAGAGATGTAATGCCAATTGCAGTCTACTTTAAAAGATGACTATTGATAACTTAATGAAGAGCAGTGGTAAGGGAAGATCACTACGTACATACAAGGATGTAAAAAAACCAGCATTCTGTTACAAGTAGGACTTCTGTTATCATTGTTAAAATTAACTGAGTGGTCATTCAGAAAGTGTTCTAACTCGGAAAGTGGCTGCCACCAAGTTACCTGTATATCAACTGTATGCAAGATCATTAGATAACTCACAAAAATCCTACCCTTGTAAAAAGCATGAAACAGGAGAGCATAAGCACTCCTTAGACAAACTGCAAAAAACTATACAAAAGAGATGGAATTTTTTGGAACAATGAATAAGACCTCAACTGTGACAAGAAACTGAGGACTTGCTACCAACCACGAGGTGATAAAATCTTCCCAATACAGTAGAGAAAAAGAAAATTTCTGCGTGAGTTTAGGGTTGATTCCTCTATGCATATAATGAGAAGTTTAAACTTTACAAAGTGAATAGTAAAGCAAAGATAAACTATAGTTAGTACCAACTGAATATACTGACCACAAGTATGCAAGATTAAGGTCCAGTATTGTAAAGCCAAGAAGGTACAGATAGATCATGATAAACAATCAACTCGTATGTCTTACGTCAATAGCAGTGTTATCATGATTTAAAAAAAAGTGAACTCATTGTTCATGCCTTCCTTTCTTTAATATATCTGTGTCATCACCTGAACCTGCATCTATTTTTATCAAGGTATTTCGTTTCTCTAAATGAAGTCTAGGAAGTCAATATCTATTTACAGTACAGTCTATGGAAAGTCTATCAAGTATTTAATAAATAATTAAAATAAAAATTTCATATTTACACAATTTTAAAAACTTTATTGAAGTCGTCAACTTTGAAAATAAACTCTGTCTACAGGAGTCTCCTGCAAGATACAATTTGTTTTTCCCAGGTCATGTGATATTACATTGTATTGTTATTTACATAATTCGCTGGTCAACATTTATTTTACAACACCAAATATCAATGATTTAATTTGATGTCCTTCAGCTCTGTTTAATACTTTTGTTTTTTTTATATTTTATTATTTCAAGTGATTCTCTTACATTTAAAGCTGTAATATTATGAGTAAATAATGAGTAATAATTATAATAATAGTAAATAATAACTATTATGAGTAGAAGAATGCGAAGGTGATAAAATAAAGAAATTAGATTCATAGAGAAAAATCATCTTTAAAAAACTATAGTAGTAATTTATTTACTTGATGACGTTACAAGCAGCCATTCTTTTTCAAGCCAGAAACAAGCCTGTCCATTAATGACAATTGCAGGAACGTTTTGAAATGAAACAACACACAAAACAGAACGTTCCTGCAATTGTCTTTAACCGACAGGCTTGTTTCTGGCTTGAAAAAGAACGTTTGCTTGAAATGTCAGCAATTAAATAAATTACTATCATAGTTTTTAAAGGTGATTTTTCTCTAAAAGTTTAATTTCTTTTCTTTTTTTTTTGGTAATATTATGAGTTTAACAAAAATTTTAGTTTTTTTTCCCCATAAAATTTTGTGTTGTGTTGTTTTTACGTGTTCTGCTATAGCCGAGTTTTCTATTTTATTATTTCTTACGTAACCATTATTTACGTATATCAAGTAGCTTGTTATAATGGAAACTGTGATGTGACTAATAATGTGTAATCATGGCCATCAGACCGAACATGACCAATGACGGAGCAAGGTAATAGTTTTATATACACTGTAGTTAGATTTTAATTTTTGTTGATCTTAACATTTTCCAGTAGAACCCCCCCTAAACATATTCCATCCAAGTATGGTTCTAGAAATGTTGGATGGACTGGCAACTGGTACATCAACTTTTGAATATATCATACCAAAATACAAACATGTGTTTAATATATAGAAAACTGCATTGCTTCCATTTTATCTTATCATCAAGAATTTTCTTCGTAATGTTTTTCTGTCTGAAAATTAACAGGGAATAAAAGGTCAAGAATACAGTGAATGCATTAACTCTCAGTTTATGTACAATGTGTGAAGCAACTATGCCATACAAGTCTCTGTACCTGAAATACTGAAAGTTGAATCCTGAAGATTGCGAGCTCCGCTACTAGTTGGAGGACGAGTATGGAATTCAGCCTGTTGACCAAGGCCAGCATCTTTCCCAAACTCCCGTCCAGGACCATCCATTACTATATTATTAACCGGACCTTCATAGGGTTCTCGTTCCACCTTTTTTGGTTGTCTGGCCTAAACAAAAAAATAAACATAAACAAACAGGCAAAGTGTAATAAAAATACAGACCCTGTGCGATAGACAACTCAACAATAATATATATGGGATCAATGAATGTAAAAGAGCTTACACATTTATTTTAACTCAACAAACATCTCATCTTCACAGATGAAAATGAGGCTCAGTAGAAAATACGTGCACTAAAATGAAATTGTTTTATACAAAAAACGCTCTGCTTAGTAATAAACTCAACATTCAACTTCTCATGCATTTGAAGTGTGTAAGTTTGTTAACATACTTTTTCAGAAGATTTTATTTTCCAGGACAACTTGCATCATTTTCACGGAGTAATCAGTCGAGTAGCGAGGGTTATAACATTTACTGTTTATATATCAGTGAACTTATATTATTAAACAGAAAGAACAAAACAAAACAGATACTGTTTCAATGTCTCCGAACAACTTGGTAGAGAATGACAAATGCAGGGATGATTATTATTTTTCATTTTCAACGAAAAATTACACGGTGTGGTATATGTACGTATGTTTATTCTTTCACTACTTTTAATTTTTCATCTAATTGATCTTTTAACTCAATGAGTTTCTTTTCGTTTTCTTTAGCAGTGTGCCTAAGACTGTTGGATTTGGTAATGTTTGTTTGTTTGTTTTGAATTTC